CTGGTTTTCTACTTCAAAATTCATAGTTGAACACCTACATCCTAAGGTGTGTGTATTCCACATCCCAATGTAATCTGTTCTTTCTAGGGGCATGCCAAAAATGTCATGGTCTGTGGCTCCGTGTATAATGTATATTTTAAAAGGAAGACCAACGTTTGCATTTTTTTCTCAAGTTCTTTAAGTTGATCTCGCTATATTTGGGGGTAAACAAAATATTCAGTGTAGTTGTTCAAGTAAAAGAATTGACATTCAAGAGTGTGTTAATTTAGGTTCCTGTGTATATCTATTTGTATTCCTACACAGATTACCATGCCAAAAATGTAGAAAACTGTGCCTCTCAAATTTCGATCTTGTTGATTTTTTTGGTGATATGTCGTTTTCTCTTGTTAATGAAAGCTTATTTAAAGAAAGCCAGTCACCACCTTGAATCATTTTGCAGCCAGAAGAATGTACTTAAATAATTGTGTATTCGAGACTTAAGTTTAGCAAATCTCAATAAATGGCTTCCCATAGGAAAGATTTCTTCTGTTCAAGCTACAGAAAACAACTACAGTACAAGCATCCGCTTTCCTAAAAACCTGCAGGTAGAAAAGAGTCCTTCCCTCAAAATACTGAATATTACTCTTGTGTCCACTGTATCTCTGGTGCCTGCTGTTTTCATCTTGTCTGGGCTGCCGATTTTCAGTGCAGAGACGGCGCACCAAAATGCTGCAGGATGCAAAGGGTACCTGTGGCATTTTTACCAGAGTATACCAGGAAATGGCCATGGTCATCATTCACTGCTCTGTTTCTATGACACTCTTCCACCTCAGTACTATACATAGGCTTCCGAAACCATCACTGGGGCATTCTTGGCATTTATATTGGGAATGGGGACTACTTTTGGAAAAAGATCCTAATATAAGGACATCTCAGCTTTGTAGTAAGGAATCTTTGAAATTACCTGTACACCATCTTTTTACAAGTAAACCAAACTTTATTTCTGTTTTTCTCAATTCCAGAAAAGCTTTATCTTTATTTCCAGAAAGTTAATATTTCATTAGGAATAGGCTCTAAGTTTCTCAACTTTTCAGCCTTTTCAAAGAGTTAATGGTGTAAAAAAACAAGTGCATAAATGCACTAGGGGGATCCCCATGATTTATAGATGCTCTCTATTTTTTGAATAGGAAAGACATTTTTTAGTAATAATAATATTCATTTTTTGACTCTTCTGTAATATGCAAGCAGGGGTGGGAGGTGGGGAGAAATGCCATTTTTCTACTTAGCCCAAAATGTATAAGCTTGATTCGTGTGATAGTCACAGGTTCCTAAGCACTTGGTTTAAAAATGAGCAGCATGAGATGGGTACCCTTCATTGGTCCTTCGTGGTTGGGGGCAGAACTGAGGAGGGGGAGCTGAACACATCCTGGTTTCAGTAGCTGTGCTTGCAGCCACACCACTCCATATTCCACGTAAATTTAAAAAAAAAAAAAAAAGCTTTCTATAATGGTTAGTAAAATTTACATTTCATCCCTTGTCTAAAACTATTTTTAGCCTTATTTTCTCAGTTCAGAGCTTCCTACTGCTCTTCCCACCCACCCCCCACCCCTCTTTTCATAGGTATTACAATTGGCCTTAGAAATGGCGATGCTTCTCTTTTGATCTTCTGGTTGGTTTGATAGGTTGTGTCTGCAGATTTGAGAGCAGAGCAGCCTGTTTTATTTTTTTAGCATCTAAACAGTAATGTTCCCACATCACTGCAATTTTAGTCACATCATTGACCTCCGCTGGCAGTTTATCCCTCTACAACACTCGAATGCATTCATATCACTGTCTGTAGCATTTTAATTTAATTAAGGTAGTGGTTATGATCCTCTTGGGAAAATTGTTATCCCCTCTCTAATGTTAAAATGAAGCACCTTTGGTTTTCATCTGACTGTTTGTTTCAGAGGTGAATGAGCTCTAAGCGGGTGCTTCCCTTCTCTTTGGTTGGGTCAGAGCAGAGAAGCAGTAGTGAGAATAAAGAGGTTTCCTTTATTCGAGAAATTGGATATTTGTCTCCTTAAGCCTCTCTGTCTAGATGTCTCCATCTGAGATGGTGGGATTTGTTTCATTTTTCTAATTGCTGATAATCTGCTGAATGTGCCACTGTGGATGTTAAGTGCATGGTTATAGAAATAGATTGAAAAATGCGGACCATGTGAGTCACCCTAGAGACTAATAAAAAGACAAAAGGAGATGAGTCTGTGGTGTGGGGTTCCCAGGTGTGTGTTTTGTTCTCCTCGGAAAAGAGCCCAGGCACTGAGCTACATCCTCCCTAGGGTTCTGAGTGCGCTGCTGGCCGCTGGGCCGAGGGTCACGATAGTGTGTAATGGCTGCTAGCAAACGCTGGAAGCCCTAGAAGTACATTTTACTTTTACTTTTCCCCCTCTTGATCAAGGTACCCTCTCTTCTGTTACTGATAAGTCTCTCCATTGAACCTTTTCAAAAGAGCTTCCCATCCAAAGCTTATGGTGTCACAGTCTCGCTGAGTGGAAGCCGTCACCGAGAATGAGAGGAGTTCAGCGTCCACACTCACTCAGTCTCTGGCCTTCTTTTCATAAGTTTCCTCATCAGATAGCACAGTTGTCTCCAACTAGAATTGTTTCCAATGGGTGGGGAGGTGGCATAAAATCCCAGGGCAAGCACTGAAGGGTGGCATTTCAGTGTAGCAGTAAGGACAGGGAACCATGAAGAAGTGCAGACACACTTGGGGCTGCCTCCGGAGAAAGTACGGTGAAATGAAGGTACAGCACAATGGTAACTTAGCAAGTCAGAGTATACACATTTTAAAGGTAGTACTTAGCTTGTCTTTTATAAGTAAGCCGGACATAGATTTTTCCCCAGATAAAATAACATCTACTTTGAGGACTGGGTTTCTGCCAGCTTGTCCTCAGTGGAGTTGGCGAGGGGTAGGAAGGCTGGGATGAGGTGGCCTGTCACTCATGTGGAATAGTTACAGGATCTTGGGAGTTTCTCCATGCTTTAAAGAGAAAGTCATCACCGTATTACAAAATGCCATCTTCTTTTTTTTCCCTCGCACTCACGCCATGCCATTTGAAAACTGGCTGCACAATGTTTTCTTCATCAACAGTTTCACTTCTGCAAAAAAACTCTAACAAAACAGAAAGCTATTTCTGGGAGTGAAGTTAACTGTAGATAAGATATCTAGATATATATTGGGACTGGGGGCTTATTCAAGGGTTGAAGCTTACAGAGAATTGGTTATACTAGAAAAACAGACTATTTATAAAATGCTTTAAAAGCCTATTTCACTTCCAAAAAAAAAAAAAACCCTAAACAAATTTTGTAAGTTTCCCACACGTGTGTTTGTCTTTACCTCTTTCACCCCCAAAACCCCAAACCAAATGCCAAAAATATAACTCATCCTTATGTTAGAGTTGCTCAAAATATGTGTGATATTTGGTAAAGTTCAAGAAAAGTGAAGTTGCAAGTTTCGCCTCTAGGTGACCTTTCTCAGGACATCTTGATTAATACAGAAATGAAATTTAGGATGTGTGTGACTGCCCTTAATTTAAAAATTCACCAGGAAACTTTAGGATGTATATTTAAACAGAAATATTTCAAATGCCCTAATTCTTGGTTGAGGATGCCTCAGGGAAGGTATAGCGATTCCATTCGGAAATTACGAAAATATGTATATATTCATTTAAAATCAAAACTTCCTACCACAACCACCAAACTTTCCAGGCTGTGAGCAGAAGAAAACCTTTAATTTGGTTATAGGGCTGGGGGACTCCCCTGCTTCCCTTTGCACATTTGATGAAACATAAAATGTTAGAGAACTATCTTTCCGAAACATAAACACCCCCTTCTCTTTATTTTAACCTGTGATTTTTCTTTTGGTCCTGATTTCTGTTTTCATAATGGCATCTTACTGATCTTTTTCCCCCAACCTATTTTTGGACCTTGTGTGTCCCACTTTACTTTGCCTAGTTAAACCACAGAAACTAACGGAAGTTATGTTTAGTAGGTATGGACTGCAAGTCAAACTAGTGCTTATGTAGATGTCAGATGCAAATTGCAAGCATCTGGCTGAACACAGTAGTTGGTTTCTTGCCATTATTTGCCATGTTTTAACTTCAAACAAATAATAATCCTCCCCATCCCATCGAGTTGTTTTAATTGATCTAACAAACACAAGCCTGTTTGAATTTAAACAGTAGATCTGCTGAGGCCCCCCTCCCCCTTTCCTTGTCAGTTGAATAAGTATCTTCAGTTAAACAGTACTTTTCTTAAATGCAGATGATTCTATGAATGAGCTTTGAAATACTTCAGAAGGAAAGGAAATATTGATTCTGAGATGGAGAATGAAGAGACAAGGAGATACCTATTGATGTTCAGATGATTCCTTACTGTAAAGGAAAAAAATAATTCTTGGATAGTTTTGGTGGTTGTATAATGTGATAGCTGGATAGTGGAAAAATCTTGCTCATAGATTTACTAACTAAATCTCGAATTTATAATCCATCACTTTGAGCTCACCTCTTGTTGGATCTGACTATAGGATCATACTTGGATTAGAAGCCGGGGATATTGCCAGAGAAGAGGAAACATGGTTTTCGAGTATTGGTGACATTAATTATATGACTTGGAAGAAACTCATTTTTGAGAGTCTTTAAAGCCATTCTCTTGGACATAACTGTTCTGTTTCCCCTTCCTGTTTTTCCTCTTTACTTGAACAAACCACCAGTGCAGAGAGAGAAGAAAAAGAAAAGGAGAAGCCCTATTTTATACCTTTCCAGAGTTTTTGTCATGAATCCCAAATGCTAGGGATCTGAAAGACGACCGTATAGTATCTGGAGAGGGAGCCGGTGGGATTGCCGTGAAGCCTGGCTGGGCCCGGCTCAGATGTGCCCTTCCCTTTGGCCCCCACCCCACTCCCTGATTTCACACCTCAGTTCCAAGTGTTCATTGTCTTTCCCCCCCTCCCCTCTTCCTGCCCTTGTTTTTAACAGCAGGAGCGAATTTCATATACACCTCCCGAGAGCCCGGTGCCCAGTTACCCTTCCTCGACGCCACTTCATGTTCCAGTGCCCCGAGCGCTCAGGATGGAGGAAGACTCGATCCGCCTGCCCGCGCACCTGCGTGAGTGTCCGCGCGCGCCGGGGACGGGGAAAGACAGACCGACAGACGGACAGACGGACGGAGGGACCGCAAGGTCAGAATGACTGACCGTGCGGGGACCAGGGGGCCAAGGGGCCTGGGGCCAGGGCTTCAAGCTGGAGAGGGACGAGCTCTGAGATTGTGAATTTTCGGTGACTTCCAAAGCTCCTTTGCAGTCGTTCGCCCCCCTGCTCAGAATGGCTTTGAAAACCTTGAGATTCCTGTCCCTTGTTTCTCCGTGGATTCATTTCGGCTCTCTGACATGTTTCCTAAAAATCTGGAATTGGACAATATATGGCAGAGTCAACTAAATCTTCTAAGAAGCAAGGTGAATTTGTTGGGACAGTTTGTCTTTCTTTCTAGATTCACACTGATTCCCCTTTAATATTTTTTTAGACCTTAAATTCGTCCCAGCTTCTGAGTCAGTCTCACTCCCCGCTTTGCTAATTTTTAAGCTGTGTGCTCTTCCTGTCTCTTCCTCCCTCGTTTTCCATGCCGGATGCTTTTTTTGTTTGTTTCTTTTTATGCGCCTAGATATGGCCTTTCTCTCCCCCTCCTTTCTTCTGCTCCCCTCTCTCTGGCTTCTCATGCCTGCATTGCCTCCACAGTCCGTTTGTAATATTTCCACCTTTCCCTCCCAAATCATCTCTGCCCTTGCCCCTCCCACCTCCCCTGTCTGAATCTTCGACTGCGACTTGGCAGGGCAGCAGGGCCAACACACTTGCGCTGCTGGGGCCAGCTTCCAAAGCAGCCGACACCTGTCATTTCCTTTTTTGTCTTTCTTTCCTGTGCTGCCACCCAGCCCAGATGATACAATGTGATGGGGGCAGCTGGGGAGAATGAATCACCTGATTCCCGCCCTGATCACGATGTCCAAGAAAATGCCAGGTTCTCTGGCTTGAATATTATCCCGAGGGCACAAGTCCAGATTATGGAGGATGCTGGGGGTCACCTTGGCCCTTCCCTAGTTAAATCCTAATAACTTAAATAGTGGCACAGTTGTGTTTGCCATCTCTTTCTGGCATGGGAATGCTCCCCAGGTTATTATTCTCTTGCTCCATCCTTCCTCACAAGCCAGAAGGTTGCTTGCTGAAAGTGGAGAACAATAGGAGACAGAGGACGCAGGTGTCGCTTTACTCTTTCTGTGATAATTCAGGGAGTCAGATGACCATGATGCTGGGAGGTACTGGCGGGACATTGCTGCCTTATCCCTTCTCTCCCACAGTAGGAAGGGTTGCGAGGCTTTTGGAGACCCATCTTCCAACTTGCTGTCTCCATCAGTATTTACAGAATTGCTACATATTATGGTCAGCACATTCCAGCTTCACTTGGGCAAGGAGGTAAAGGGTCCAGTTCCACTCTACGTAGCATCTTCTGCTCAATGAGCTTTTAAAGGTGAAATGGGGACTGTATTGGCGCCAAGGTCATGGCTGCAGGCACTGTCGTCCTTAGTAAACTAGAGTATTGTGGCACCATTGGAGCAGACCAGATTGCAAAAGAAACTACAGCCAGGTCATAGCATCTTTCCCTCCAGAAGCTGTCCCATGACTTGTATAGCCACCTCAGGAGGGAACACACTCAGACAAAACACTCCTACTACCTAACCTCATTCATTTATTCATTGAACAAGTAGTTCGTTACCCATGCTGTGCCAGACACTCTTCTGGATGCCGGGGATATAGAAATGAAAAAAGCAGGCCAAACTCCTTGCCTAGTACATAGAGAAAAAAAATTATGAACATTTGTCTCAAATGGGCTGCTGTTTTTTCCGAGCTTTTTATTCTCATGCTTTGACACATCCTCCCTAATTAAGAGGCCCTAATTCCTGGTTTGGCTCCAGATGGCTTTGCATATTTCAGCTCCTTTACCATAGAACTGCCTCTCTATAGGAAGTTATCATGGTAAAACTAACATACACATCAAACTGGCAGTCAGGAGGCCTTAATTCTTAACCAGTTCTGCTGTTAAACCAGCTGCTTGACTGTGAGTCAGTCACTACAATACTCAGTTTTCCTACCATACAATGTTATGATTGGACAAGAGAACATCTAACAGCCCTCTTAACTTCAAAATATGATTCTCACCTAAAGAATCATTCTCCCTACTTGGAACTGTTCCTTTCATACCAACACTTCAATTTTGGCGAGAGTAGACAGATTCCTCATAGAGCCACAGCTGTGCTGCTTACCACTATTTTGCCAGACCCTACTGTGTGCCAGCACACAATCATAATAGCTAATACCTATTGTGAGATTACCCTGTACGCCAGGCACTGTGTGAAGTCCTTCATGTAAATTCTTATTTAATTCTCATAGCAATACTTATATGGTCGATATTTTTTTTATTACCATGCCACAAGTAAGGAATTTAGAGCTTAGAGAATTCAAGCATCTTATCAAGGTCACACACTTAGGCTCTCATCTAATATGCCACTACATGTGTTCAATAAATACTTTTTGGATGGATAGATGAATTCAGGGTTGACACTTAGCCATTATTCACTAATGTGGCCATAGCATTGGTTTATGGCTAGAATCTGTTCTAACCGCTCATTAGAACAGAGACTCTAAGAATCTGTTCGAAGTGATTCAGTGGCTTTCTCCACTTTAAGTAGGTAGGTGGGTGGGTGGATGGATGGATGGGTGGATCCTCACATACATAATTATCAGATATAGGACTATGTCATATTATTGCTGACCTTAGAATATAATCAGTTGTTAGGTTATGCATTCAGTTCAGGGTGATGATTTTGCCTGAATGCCTACTCTCTGGCATTCTGACTTTGGAGACTTCCTTGGTAATCTGCATGAGCCCTGTTGTGACACCATTAGTTCCAACATCTGGAATGAATCCTCTAAAAGTGGAGGTTCCCAGGCTCTTGCTGTTTGTCCGCAGCTGGGGCTTTCCACATGAGGCTGAAATGCCCTCTTCCCGCTCCTGTTCCTGGACTCAGCTGCCCATCAAGCTGTTTGAGAAACGTCTCATGTAGCTGGTAGGGTGGTTGAGGCTGTGCTGTATACTTGAAGATGCATCCCAGCTGGGTTTCCAAACCTAAAAGAAAATAAATATTCTAACAAGGGAGTTGGGTTGTTGCTGTTTTAATCTGGGATTCCAGACAGTTCCCAGTGGAATGCTCATGGAAAGTACGGGGAAGAATCTGGAAGCCAAGACAGCAGCAGGACTTTTATGGTATTACTAGGTCGAAAGCATTTTTAGCGGCTTGTTTTAAAGAGATACTCACCAGACTGGTGTGCCTCAGAGCGGCTTCTTTTCACCAGTTATCCTCATTGATCTCCAGATAAACTCTCTCTCTCTCGTAACTCTTTATTTTTCTCCTTTCCTTCTTAAAATATATTCCTTCCTGGTTGGAGGAAGGCAGGGATCATAGTATTTAAGATTCTCTTATTGAGGGTTTCTCATCATTTTGTTCTGCAGACTCACAGCTATGGCCAAACTGAGGATACAGCGTGACAAATTAGCAAGCTATTGAGAAGTAGAAAGTCCGAGTGATAAATGGAGCAGAGTGTTAAGTGGTGATTATAGAGGACTTGAAAGGGACAGGCAGGGGCAGTCCAGGCGCATAGGAAAACAGGAGAGCCAAGGAGAGAAGGGCCAGCGCCATGCCGTCTTGGTCTGGCTTCCTTACTGCCCAAATGTGTAGGCCAGTGCCTTTCGGCATCCTACGGCTCCTGGAACTTCCCTGTTTCATCAGGAGAGCAAACACAGTGTGTTTATTGAGAAGCTAAAAATGGCTTTTTTTTTTTTTATTCTTCCATAAAGAGTACTGCTGGAGGATAGAAGAGCTGAAATACAACAGTTTTAGCAGGTAGATAAAAACAAAAAGTTCCATTCTTTAAAGGGAACATAAACCTTTCATCGTACCTTGAAAACACTAAAAAGGACCGAAGACCCCCAGAATTCCTCAACAGGATTACTCTTAATTCTCTAAGCAGAGAAGGGCTATTGCTTAGAGCAAGAAATGCCTTTTTCTAATTCTCACTGGGGGCCTTCACACTCTCATCCCATGAAGGAGAGACTTTTTCTAACTCGTCTGCCCAGAGACCACCTTTTTCTAAATTCATGGAGTTGTGAGTGCTGAGGGCACAGCAGAAGGTGCCGCATGAGGTGGGGCCAGCCCTGGGAAACACTTGACCTCACACAGTGATTCAGGGCGCCCCTTATGATGACAGTAGTACGTTTCAGATTGATGAGGCAGAATTTAAATAAGTAAATGTCTTTTCTTTATTCTAAATTCCCTTTTCCATCATATTTAGTCGATACAATTGCATCTGATGATATAATCACCATTTGCCCAAAGACTTTGCATTCTGCAGTGCCAGTTTGAACTCAAATCCCTGGGAATTGGTATGTAAAAATCGGAACCTAAGACTCATTCATCATATTTAATAGGGTTATGGTTTATGAGGTTGAGGGTTAATAAATAGCCATAGTAGCTGCCTGGAGTTTTCTCGAGTCAGAACACCAGAAATAGTCCCTTGGCTCGACTTCCTTTCTTTGTGAATCTTTCAAAATTCTTACATTACTACTCCTACTTGTGCGTGTTTAATAATTTAATTTAATGCCTTCCTCTGGAAATGTTACCTTGCCGCTCACCCACTTGGCGATTTTGCATTCTCAGCAGAGTAACTGAGTTTAAGTCAGTCATGTGACAAGCAAAGCTATATTAGAACCAGGATAGCGAAAAGAGATTGAGTGTTGCTTGTTTCTAATTAGCTGGAGCAACAAACAATTTTATATGCTTTCACGTTATTTTTGTTTCCAAAGAAGAGGCAAAAATGGGAATTCAATACAATCATAGTATTTTATGTTGTTTTAAGTAACAAAAATGTGTTCATATACACTGTCTCATTTAATCATGTAATAGTCCTTGAAGTAGGTGTTACTAATTCTAGTTTATTGATGAGCTGGCTGTGGCTCAGATTGGTCCACTGAATGTTTAGATTCACTCAGCACATGAAGAA